GACGGAAAACTGCATGTGATAAAAGGCTTCGGGGGTCCATTGGAGAAGGGAGGCCCGTGAGCCTCTCAGGCGAGCGCGCACGGGAAGCTCAGGGCCGGACTCACCAAGACAGACTCCGTTCCTCCCTGTGCAGCCAATGGGCGCTCAGGGAATGTTCCAGAAGTGCGGGTGCAGACCGTGACTCTCCAAAGAGCTCCTCCCCAGTTCCTGGGAAACACCACATCTGGAGAATGCCTATGCCCCTCTCCCAGCCTTCACCCGCGCCTCACTTGCCCCGCAGTGCTCTCTCTCTGGTCAGGGGCCCAGCTGGAGGCAGGGAGGGGACTGAGCAGGTGCAGGGGGATGGCGTGTGGGGTCCCTGCTAGCCAGGAGGAGGGAGCTGCGGGCATGGCTGAGCCTGGGTGAGGAGGAAGGTTTCAGCAGCATTGTCCCCATGGGAAGGCCCGGGGTGTTGAGAAACGCCGGAGGTCGACAAGCGGCATTCGCTTGAAGGAGAAGGAAGAAGGCTAAAAGGAAGCTTTCAAGGTGATGGTCAGAAGACGGGTCACAATGTGGGGCTGAAGGGAAATGGGGACATTTTAATACTGGGACGGCGGCCGAGCACGCCGGGTGTGTGGCCATTCTTCCGATTTATAGGGCGGAGGGAAGATGGCTTACAACGACACGCCTCTGTTCAGCTACCCTAGCGCTGTCCACACCCCAGTCTCTGTTCACAACCCGGCAACCAGGGGGGCAACGAGGAACCCACCACCACACCATTTAATTACGACATAGCCAAGACTGTACAGAAAAACTTATCGGAGGCAGAACGGTCCAAGCCCCTGCCTCCTCCGCCCTACTCACTGTGGTTCATTTCCGCTTCGTAACCTGGGTTGGTCGCCCCATCCTCATCAACTTAAGTAAAAGCTGAGGGGCAAGGGACTGATGTCACCTGCTCAACCTGGCCATTCTCCGGCCTGCTCTTCCTTTCACCCTCCCCTCTGGGCCCAATGGCGCCAACGGTGGGGTCTTCGGGATGCGTGATGTAAGACGGTCACCACTCAGCCAGGTACTTTGCATGGAACTATCCTCCTGACCGTCATAGTACCTGGCTATCGCCCACGCTGTGTTCATGAAGGCCAGGATCGTCACCTTTGGGGGCGGTGACAAGCGCTGTCACCTGGGCGGCCGGTCGCTTCCGCTTCGGTGCGCCTTTGGGTCAGTTGTGCGGGCGACTTTTTACCTCTGTCACTTCTTTTCCCACCAGGATGGGATCACGAGTCACGAGAGCGCCTTTGGGCCTGGTCCTGCCTCACCGCTGCGATCGTCATATCGGGTTATCCTTTAGACCCTGTTCCGGGTGTCGGGAACGGTAGGCTATAGAAGCACAGGCCGTGAAGCTCATTTGATCACGATCACATTTCTTCTTAATCAAGACGCTCTCCTGGGTTGAGCACCTTCCCGCGTCCTTAACATGAGAACTGCCAGAGCACCAAATATGGACCAAGCCAAGTGCAGGTGACGGAGACCCTGGGAATGACGAGACTGCTGTGACCTAACCCTCATCATTCCACGCTTCTTGCCGGGAGAAGTCTGTAGGCAGCATCTCCTCCAAAGCACATCACAAGCATCTCTGCAAACAGTACCCGGCCACGGGGAGACTGCTGGATCGAAAGTGAGGTTCCACAAGGCCTTCCACAGGCGAAAGCAGAGTGTCCGCTGGCTTAGTAAACGAATGGCTTCTGGCTCTCACCGCTGCCGGGGACTGAAACTGTGCATGATAAAAGGCTGGGGTCCATTGAGAAGGGAGTCTGTGAGCCTCTCATGAAGCCAAGATGGGAAGCTCAGGGCCGGACTCACCAAGACAGACTGTCTCCTCAGCAGCCACGGGCCAGGGAATACCCCAGTGCAGACCGTGACTCTCCCAAAGAGCCTCCCAGTTCCTGAAACACCACATCTGGAGAAGCCTATGTCTTCCCAGCCTTTCACTCATGCCACTGCCCAAGAGTACCTCTCTCTTCTGGTCAGGGGCCCAGCTGGAGGCAGGGAGGGACTGAGCAGGCAGGGGATGGGCTGTGGGGTCCCCTGCTAGGAGGAGGGAGTCATGGGCACATGAGCCCATGAGGAGGAAGGTTTCAGCAGCATTGTCCCCAGCCCCGCCTGGAAGGCTCCCTCTGCCCCACCAAGACCCCCT